TAAGTTTTGAAATCCGAAAAACATAGATTCAAGAGAGGTTCTTTCAGTAATCTTACCTCGAATCCTTCTCTTGACGTTGAAAACTCTTTGAAATCACTCTTGGTTCGAATCCGGTTTTGATTTGAGACACAAATGGGAGAGAGAGAGGGAGAGAGAGCACGGAAGTGTGAGAGAGAGAGAAATGCACGGGAAAGAAAAAGAAAAGGAAAGAAAAGAAAGGAAAAAGAAAAAAAAGAAAAGGAAAGAAAAGAAAAGAAAAATAAAAGAAAATGACATGTGTAAAGTATAACAGTCCAGAAATGCGCCCATACACACTTCTGGTTTAAAAATAAAATTACTCAGAATATTTAAATACCTTGGAATTATTTAAATTTACACATGTCAGAAACATTTATTTATTAATAATCAATTAATAAATTCAGATTAGGCACGCTAATAATCTCAATTACCTTAATTAATCTCAATTAATTCTTCAGGGTGTTACAGCTCCACCCCCCTTAGGCAATTTCGTCCCCGAAATTAAAGCTCACCTCAAAGTGCAAACAGATGCGGATAACGTCCTGCATCGTCGTTTCAAGCTCCCATGTCGCTTCCTCAACTCCATGGTGCTGCCACAACACTTTCACTAACGGGATCTCACGATGACGCAGATTCTTTATTTTTCGGTCAAGAATCTGAACTGATGCCTCCTCGTATGACGCGTCATACTGTATCAGAACGTCAAACCACTGCACTACTGCTTCCGGCTCAGGTTGACATTTCTGAAGCATGGAGACATGAAACACATCATGCACGTGAGATAACTCAGGCGGTAAAGCCAACCAGTACGCCACCACTCCGACTCGTTGCACGATCGGGAATGGCCCCACATACCTTGGTGCGAGTTTTCCTTTCACACCGAACCGAACAACTCCCTTACGTGGGGAAACCTTCAACAGGACAAAGTCGCCCTCTTGGAATTCCAAAGGCCTACGCCTCCTGTCAGCATAACTTTTCTGACGACTTTGAGCTGTCAACAGTCGTTCCCGAATCACAGTTATCTTCTCATTATTCTCTTGAATGATTTCCGGCCCAGTGCTCAGTCGATCCTCTGGTTCCAACCAACACACAGGTGACCTACAAGGACGACCATATAGAGCTTCAAACGGTGCCATTCCAATGTTGGCCTGATAGCTGTTGTTGTACGCAAACTTAGCAAAATGCAGATATTTCTTTCAGTTCCCACCGAATTCCAGAATACAAGCACGAAGCATATCCTCCAGAATCTGAATGACTCTTTCAGATTGTCCATCTATCTGAGGATGAAATGCGGTGCTAAAATTCAAATCTGTCCCCATGGCTTCCTGGAAACTCCTCCAATACCTTGCATTAAAACGCGTATCACGATCTGACGTGATAGACAATGGCACTCCGTGTA